AGGCCGGCTCGGCCTCCAGCCGCGGGCACGCCACCTTGCCCTCCGAGGCCTCTGAGGGGTCCCTGGGGCGCTTGGTCCTAAGGGGCTCAGGCTCTCTGGGGGCGGACGGGGGCTGCGGGTCCACAATCCTAGGCAGAGGGAGATCTACAAAACAAACCTGCGCCATCATTCGCCTCTTACCAGCGGCGGAACGCGCGAAGCGCGGACAATTAGCGCATTTCCAGCCACACAGCGCGCGCTCAGGTGCATGGCGCCGCTGGTGGCTCAAGAGCGGCGCAGGAGGCCGCCGCTCTCGCCGTGGACGACCCCGTCGGAGTCGCTGCTGCCGTCGAGCTAGCCTCGAGACCGTCGGCATCCTGTCGGGCCTCGTCCCGACCAGCTCCTGCGCGTTGCCGATCCAGGCCGCGATCTGGCGGACTCGGTCCAGGAGCTCACGATGCCGAGCACGCGCCGCTGGTGGGATGTCGTGCTTGGCGAGCCCCTTCTTCGCCGCCACGTCGGCATAGTCATTGCCCTTCTTGCCATGGTGATGCCTGCTGTCCTCCTGTGTCTGGTGGCTCTTGACGTACTCGATGGTGAGGATGTCGCTGATGCCTCCATGATCCTCGAGCGCGTGCCAGAGCAGCCGCCACAAGTCGACGTGAGCCCGTCGAGGATGCAGGCACCACTGCTTGCCCTGGTTGATACCGTCGATCGTCATCATACAGTCGGTGTGTATGTGGAGGGGGAGGATGCCATTCCTGAGCGTCATGATGATGGCGTAGAGCTCGGCTCTGGGCACCGACTGCTGAGCTCCTGGGAGAGGACCGAACGCTAAGCCTTTCAATCGTTGGTCGTCCATGAGGGCCAGTCCCCAGCCCGCTCGAGCACCTTCAGGTCACCCAATGTGCGTGCGACCTGCTCCATCGGTGTACACCTCGCCCGTGATCTGATGAAGCTGGCCACCGTAGGCGTAGTACCAGATCTCCTCGCTAACTGGTGGAGGCACAACTGGGAGCTGATCTCGATCAAGCATGGCTCGCGTGAAGAGCATGTCGTTCTCAGGAGCCTGGCGCGCCTCATCAATGATTTCTTGGTCCACTGCGAGCGCACGTTCCTCAGCCAAGTTGGGGCAGCACCATAGTCGATGATGAAGCGTGCCCTTGCAGTCCTGGCAATACATGCACTCCTCCGTGTCCGAGAAGCCGTACTTGTGCAATCTCGCTTGTGACCATTGGCCGCCTATGATGGTGCTGCGGAGCGCTGCGCGCGCTCGTACTGAAAGTCTCCACTTGCGAACTTGATCGCGAGTAGTGAGCAGAAGCTGGAGAGGGGCAAGCCAGTACCCACATGCCTTTCGTGTAGGAGCCTCCGTCTCAGGTGCGTGGTCAGCTCGCGAGGCCCACTCTTCCCACTTATAGTTGACGAAAGACCTCCTCGCCAGAGCACGTACCCAATCAGGTGGATCAACTCTGAGATCAAGCTGGACGCCCTGGGCTGTGGTCCACTGGAAGGCGGACTGAGCTCTCCAACCCAGTTGGCGGAGGACGTTCCAAACCGCACCTGCAGGTCCCGCTACATCTTGCCAAGAAGGAACTGGGCCCAGTCGGTGTCGCTGCTGCTGAAAAGCTTGACCCATAACTTCCCAAGGTAGAGCTCTGTCCGATGCCATTTGCGCCCAGGTGTAGACTGGTTCTGCCACCGCGAATATATCAGGGTGTTGGTCTCGCCTCTGCTCCAACTGAGAAGCCAACCACGATGAGGTCCCCGCCGGTGTTTTATGCCAGCCCACACGCACCATCTTGGTCATGGAGCGCACGATGGAGCGAGATGCTCCGATCACCTGCACGGGAGGAGGGGGAGGAGGAGGAGGAGGAGGAGGAGGAGGAGGAGGAGGAGGAGGAGGGGGACGAGGAGGGGGAGGAGGAGGAGGAGGAGGAGGAGGAGGAGGAGGAGGAGGGGGAGGAGGAGGGAAGATGATGAGGAGGACAAGTGCAAACCCAAGACGCATCAACGATGTTGAAATCCCGCCAGCCCTTTGGGCTGAGGTGTTCCAGCGAATTCTTTCTTCCCTCTTCCACAAACCCTCTTCCCTTCGGGGAGAGGTCACGTTTCCCTTCCCTCCCAGAGGTGTTCTGGAAGGCGCGAAGTGTCAGGGCGCCCAAATGGCCGAAGATGGCTCTAAGAAGGCGTCCGATGCTCCGAGGTGGCCTCCAGGATGGCTCAAGACAACCAGTGATGCTTCAGCACAGCTTCCGACACGCCTCCACCAAGAGGCCCGACGAGGGCCACCAGACGGTTCCAAGTGCTCTCGGAGCCCCCCCCCAGGATCCAACAGGAGGCCCAACTCCGTCGAACACCCACGGAACGTCAGTCCTGTTTGACTTCTCGCCGTTTCGCCTCCGATGCGCGCTTCAAAAGGCCTCGCGGCGGCCCCAAGATGGCCCAACGGGGGCCCGAGAGGGGCGCACGAGGCCCCCCAGGCGGCCTCAAGAGCGCCCAAGAGCGGCCCCAAGAGCGCCTCAATAGCGCCTCCAGAGGGCCCCCAGAGGCGATGCTGATGGCCCCATGGGGTGATCTCTGGGACCCCCCGCTTTTTCATCGATGGCCTCCTAAATGGCCCCAAGAGGCCCTCCAGGGCTCTCAAGGGACCCCCAAGAGGGCTCCAGGAGGGCCCCAAGATGGAAACACTGAGAAGAGCCCCAAGAGGACCCTAAGATCCCCTAAAGGAGTCCCGAGAGGGCTCGAAGGAACGAGTATGAGGACTCTGTACTCGTCCTCGTTTTCCTCCTCCTCCTCCTCCACCTCCTAATCCTCGTCCTTGCCCTCATCGTCTTCCTTTTCCTTCTCCTCCTCTTGCTCGTCGTCGTGGTCGTCGTCCTCCTCCTCCTCCTCATGCTCATCCCTTTCCTCCTCGTCCTTCCCTCGCCCCCGCGCGGGCCCCAAGGAGGGCCCGAAGAGGCCCTCCAAAACCACCCCCTTGCTCCCAAACATCTCTCTGTTCACCCTGGTTGCCCGCTTTATTTCACCACACGTGTCTCGTCGTGCCTGTTTGTCCGTGAACTCTCATGGGCCGAAAATTTGAATGGGCTGGTGGAGATACGCGAAGCATGAAGAATAAAGCATCCCTCAAAGTTCCCTCTCCACAAGTCCCTACAACAACGTACGTTCATTGCGGGACGTGTCCCATTGAAAAACAACCGCCTGAGAAACTTCAACCGTGCCAGAACGCCGATTCTTGGGACATCAACCACGCGAATCAACGTGACTGTTGCATCCTGATAGTCCGCAACCGTGCCCGAACTTCATTCGTGGGACTTTAGCAAGGCGAATAAACGTGATTGTTGCGTCCCGGCAACCCTCAATCGTGCCAGAACACCATTCCTGCTTGAACATCGCGATTCAATGTAACGATTGCGTCCGAAAAATCATCGATCGTGCCAGAACGCAGAGGAGAAGGAGGAGGGGAGGAAGGGAGGGAGGGAGGGAGGGAGCGGGGGAGGAGACAGTAGGACAAGCTAGGTGTGCCCGCTGCATGTCTTGAAATCGCACCCCTCCCACCCATCCCCTCCCAACTGTGATGAGTTCTCTCTTTATTCGCGGGTGCGTGTCAGAGTATGCCTGGCAGTCGCACAAAGACCTCATCGTCTCATGCGCAGTCGGAACAGGGGAGCTGCGCACATGGGAGGGGGAGAAAGAGAAGGTGGCGTAGGAACAGAAGCATGAGCAGACGGAGCGGAAGGCGAAGGAAGGAGGACAAGGACGAACAGCAGCAGCAGCAGCAGCAGGAGGAACTAGAGCGGAAAGAGTGGGAAGAGCAGGAGGACCAGGGGAAGGCGAATGAGGAGAAAGAAAGGATCACTGCGCCGACTTTGCAGACGTGCTCCAGCAGATTTGGGCGTGGATTTCTGTCGTTGCAAGACCCCGAAAAACGGCGAGCGAAAAACGAAGCGACCTTCACGTGTGTTCTTTGTTTAGTCTTCATTCCTGGCCAAAAAATCCGCACGGAATTCACTTCGAAATCGGGAGCGAAATTCTCCAGGACACTCCGGGCCCATTCTATTGTTTTCAGAGCGAAATTTGCTCTGCGATGTTGGCGCCAAGGGTGGCGACAACAAGAAGTGAGGACTCGGCTCAAGAAAAGTGGCCCGCGCGGGGGCGAGAGCGCCGTTCCGAACAACAGGAGTAAAGCACCGATTCTCACGTGAGGCCCACCATGCAGCGGCAGCACCATTTTTTAAGACACCGAAAACGTTCTCATGGAAAAACCGTAGGGCACAGGAAAGACCAAACCAGTGCGCGGAGGGGGCGGTCCACTGCCCAGCCAACTTTGGTGGAGAGAGGAGAATCGAAACCATTCAGATGGACTAATTGTTGAATAGGTGTTGAGGGGAAGGGGGGGAGGGGAAGGGAGGGGCGAGCACGACCGATCGCAACCAACTCGGACCGTTCAGGAACCACGTTGGACCGATTACAGCAGGTTGCGATCGGTCCGAAGTGGTTGCGACGTTTAAAAGACGCGTCAATCAGTTTCGGTGAAGGAAGAAAACAGAATAGAGCTTCTGGTGGCAATGAATTCAATTAAGCCCCCCGGTTGAAATTTGAAAAACTGTTCCGATCCGTCAGATCGCCAACCGGCGGTACATTGCCACTTAGGCCAGCCAGACGATTTGGTCAGCCTGACACTGGGGAGGGTAGGCGATGATGAGCAGGAGAGGGGGCGCGAAAAAGATGGACTTCACCGCCTGGCTAGCGCATACTCTGTGCCCTTGCGGACCCACGGTCTTTTTCCATCTCTTCACGCCTCTCTTTTGGCGGCTGCGCCAGCCAGGCGCAATTATGCCATTCCTTGAAGCCTGGCACCGTTTTGCACGACGCAACAGGCGCGGCTCTTCATGTCTGATCCATGCAAAAGAGAAGAAGAAAAGGGGCGGAGGAGGAGGAGAAAGAGAAAAGAGGAGGAAGAGGATGAGGAGGAGAAAGAGAAAAGAGGAGCAGGAGGAGGAGGAGGAGAAAAGAGGAGGAGGAGGAGGAGGAGGAGGAGGAGGAGAAAGAGGAGGGTGGGCGGCGAGGCCGGCTCAGGGCGGCTGCGGGCTGCGCGGCTGCGGCGGCGACTCGCGCTTGGGCCTCGCGGCGCTCTTGTCCTGCAGGCGGGGGGTGACGGTGTCCTCCGGGCGGCCGCGCGCGGGGGGTCCCCTTGATGGGCCCGCCCACCACCACCACCACCACCATGAGTTGGAGGGGGTGGTCCTCCTCCTCCTCTCCTCCTCCTCCTCCTCCTCCTCCTCCACTCCTCCTCCTCCTCCTCCTCCTCCTCCTCCACTTCCTCCACTTCCTCCTCCTCCTCCTCGTCCTCCTACTCCTCGTCCTCCTCCTCCTTCCCCCCTCCAACTCATTGTGGTGGTGGTGGTGGTGGAAAACCGGCCCACCATCCCTGAGGGGAGGCGCGGCGGCAGCAGGCAGCGGAGCGCGGCGGCCGCCGCGGTGATGCGCGGCCCCTGCTGCAAGAAGGCAGGAGGCCATGCAGCGCATATGACTACCCACCAGACCGCCCCAACCCAACCCGAAGACCCGAATTCCGGGGGGGGGGGTACGGGTTTCATGTGCGTTTTTTCGAAATGTTCCCCGATCCCCCCCCCCCCCACACTGGAGATGGAGGGCAAATCGGGGCCTTCGGGTTGGGTTGGGGTGGCTTGGTGGGCGGTGAGCATACGAGCCACGATCGAGAACGGGCCTTGCGCGAGGTGGCACAGCGGCCTTAGCAGGTAAGCGACGATCAAAAACGAGTCTTGCGCGAGGTGGCACGGCGGCCTTAGCGTATGAACGACGACCAAAAACGGGTCTTACGCGAAGTGGTACGGCGACATTAGGCGGTGGCTTACGCGGGCCGCCGGCGCGGCACGCTACTCTGTACACGAGGGCGCTTACGAAAGCGCCTGACGCAAGGCCTCGCGCGGGCAGCTTACGCGCCAATGCTGGCGCAGACGACCCCTTTGTTGCTGCGTCGCTCATATGCAACACGGTACCAAAAAGAGGAGGGGAGTGGAGGGGGAGGGAAATGAGGAAGGAGGAAGCAGGGGAGGGGAAGATGAATTCGCCGGCCCAACGAGCCACGATCTCTGGTGAGAGGTTCCAAAGCTTCGTACATTACTAGATCGCCTGGGGTCCCCGGATGGAAAATGCCCCAGACTTCGCGCGCAAGACTCGGGTCAAATGTGGGCGCGGCCTTCACGGCCACCACAAGCGCTCCAGGGGCGCTCCACGGGGCCTGCAGAAAAGCCCAACAGGGTGCGACACGGTCCAAGAGCGTTCCACCACATACAACATGGCTTCTTCACTGTCCAGAAGTACTCCCAAACGACCCAAGGGCGCTCCTAGTGGGCTCCTAAGGAGGCCCCGAGAAGCCCAAATCGTTGAATCTCCAAAAGGAGTTGAAAGGATTTCAGCGTTCGCGCCTTTTTGGCCTTCCGACGCTCCAAGGCGGCGAAAGTGGCACCCAGGATCGCCCAAAGACAGCCCAAGAGGCTCAAGAGGGCCCCAAGACGGCCCAAGAGGCCCTCCCAAGAGGAGCCCTTCCCCCCAAAGGTGGCCTCCGAGACTGCCAGAAGGCCCCCAAGAGGCCTGCAGAGGCTCCCAAGAGCCCCTCCTGAGAGCGTCCCAAGAGGCCCCCAAGAGGCCCGCCCCACGAAGCCCCAAAAATGCCCCGCGAGCACACAGGCAAGTGCAAACGATAATACAGTATGGACCGGCGGACCATGGCCAAATCGTCACTAAAAGCCGCTTGATTGCACGTCGTTCATTTCTAATCGTGCTCATTTCTAAGTGTGCTCGTTTCTAAGTGTTCCTGGCCCCCTAGTGGCCAGGAAGAGGCCCAGGATAGAACAATTAGAAGTGAAAGGAGCCTGGCCCCCAAGAATCAAAGGACCTTCGAACAACTAGACATGAATGATGTGTATAGAGTGTCGGATGCCCACGCAGGTTCTCGTGTGTCGGCGCTGGGCCTCCCTGGCGGCGGAAGGCACGAGGTCCAGCGCCGACGCAGCACATCTGCGCAAGACCTCCGACCCCCTATCATGTTGTTTGCGTTGTTTCGCTCGTCGGGGCAGGGAGAGAGGGGCGGGAGGGAGCTCTCCCTCACACCATAGCACAACCATTACGAACTGATTGAATAATCATCTGGCCCATGTTCATCAACTCGCGAACGAAGATGTCCTATATCAACCGGGAACACCCGGGAAGATGCATGATCTACTCGCACAACACTTAAACCTATACGAAGGGAAAAAGAAGTGGTTACCGATAAAGCAGATTGAGGGGGAGGAGCGGGGAACGGGAGGAAGGAGCGGGGAAGGCGAGATGGTGGGGTAGGAGGATTTGCATTGCTACGGTAATTAAACCATCGAGCCTGCTAGCATGCGGCAGTACGCAGGTCACATAATCTGGCGGCTCCCCTCCATCCGATAGCGAGGGTTAGGCTTCAGCAGCTGGGCAGCTTAGTCAGTTGCTTGTCAACGCAATCAGGCATTCAGCAGCATGGCAGAATATTCTGCAACGTAGCAAGTTGGTCATCCTTACTTCCGATGATCTTGCTCGAAGCAATCCCCAATCCCACCAGCCCTCTGGGCGTAGGTGGTTTAGGGAGTTTCCTCTTCCAACCTTCTTTCCCTTCGGGGAGGGGTTTTCCCCTCCTCCCTACCTCCTACCCTGGACCTGAACAGGGCGCCCCGCGAGGTGTCAGAGGTTTTTTGTTCGCCCAAGATGGCTCCAAGAGGGCTTCAGAGAGCACAAGATGACCTCCAAGATGGCTCAAGGTAGCCGAAGATGCCTCAAGTCGGCTCCCCAAGTGCTCCAAGAGGCCCCAAGAACGCTCCAAGACGGCTTCAAGAGGCCCCTCAGACCTCCAAGGAGGCCTTTCAGAAGCCCAAATCTGTCCAAAACCTTTGGAGAATCACTGATTTGTGCGTTCCGGCCTTTTCGCTTCCCATGGCCATCCGAGGCCTCAATATGGCTCCAAGATGACCCGAGAGGTCCCCAGGAGAGGCCCAAGAGGGCCTCAGGAGAGGCCCAAGAGCGCCCAAGAGCGCTCCAAGAGAGCACCAAGAGAAGACTGTTGGGGCTCCCGAGGGGGGCCCTAATGTAAGCTCTCCTCTTGTTTAATCGATGTCTCTAAGATGGCCCCAGGAGCGCCCCTCAAGTTCCCAAGAGCGCCCCAAGAGGGCCCCAAGAGGCGCCCAAACAGCCCCAAGAGGCGCCCAGGAGGCATCCACGAGGCTCCCAAGAGACCTCCAATAAGCCTCAAGAGGAACCCCGAAACACCACAAACGCCAAGATGTTCCTTCTTCGCCTCCGTCTCCTCCTCCTCCTTGCCCACTGTCTCGTCATCCTTCCTCCTCATCGCCCTGCTCCTCCTCCTCCTTCTCCTCCACCATCCGTCTCCTCCACCATCCCTCCCCCTCTTCGGGTATCGAACGGCTTTCCCCGCCCTGTATCAGTCTGCATGCTCCCACCCTTCCCTGATCACCTCAACTCCCCTGGGCATCGTTTCTGGATGGGCTGGTGGGGATACTTTTGCTTAACTCATGGAGCGCGATGACAGGATGCCTGATGCGATCATGCAACCTGCCAGGTAAGGTAGGCGACATTGCGAATACCCATGAGACAAAATATGGCCGCGCTGCCGCCGCTGAAAAAATTGAGCCCGGACTGAATCACCCATGAAAGCCCGCGAATCTCATTTCTCGGCCAAACTGGCATCACTGGGCCCGGCGCAACGCGCCGCCCGATTTGCGTCTGGGCGCGGAAGAAATGGGCATAACAATGGAAGTAGGCACGGTGGCTACATTCCCCTTTTTTCTACCAGTCATCTGCGGTTCTCGCGCGCTGCCCCCGCGCGCCCCAAGTTGCTTGGAAATTCGAGGTAGGGAAGGCCCACCATTTAGCTGCAGGATCGGTCTGACTCTGAAAATCAGATGCGCCCTCGATGGGCGCCGCGCGAGAAGGTCTGGCGCGCCCTGTGCGAGCTCGACTCTGTTCGGCAGAAATATGATGGCCATTTGCGTGGAACTCCTCGGGATTAGTGGCCCGCTGCACACATCGAGCGCCCGGGGCCGCGGCCGCCGCGGGGTCGGGCCACGCAGGCCCGAGATTCCTCGACGCGGCCGGCGAGTTGACCAGGCGCGCGCGCGGGCGCACATGATCGCCAAGGTACTTCGCCCACAAAGGAGTGCCAGGTGATCGTCGTGAGCAGGCTAATCAGGGACAGCTTGTTGCGCGCGCGCCTCCGCTCTATCCATAGCTTCACGCAATTCACCATATGGGTCGAGCGCGGGAGGGCCTTCCTCCTCGCATTCGTCTTCAGAGGACTCCCCCACCAGCTGGGCGATCACCAATCTGGGAAGAGGGAGGCCAGGAACAAGCGCTTCGAAAATGACATTGGCTTCCTTCCTCGCAAGCTTCCAAGACCCCGATTCCTTCTCGCCTTTGGCGTTCCTGGACTTCTTGCCGCTCGGGCCAGGCCCCCGCGGCGGAGGCAGCCGACGCTGGAAAACAGCGGGCAAGAGGAAAGACAAATCCACGGCAAACTCAGCCTCCGCTTTGATTTCGACGACAACGCCACAATGCGCCTCACCGGCGACCGCTCCCCCAGCCGCGACGTCGCCGGCGCCGGCCGTGGCAGACTGAGTCGTCGAGATGGCGCGCGGGGAAACAGCGCCAAAATCAATCGCGAATCCCAAGCCCAATGCGCAAGTGCATTGAACGTTCGCGGGGGCCATCAGAAAACCACCTACCATGGTGGACCAACCTGATTCCACAGGCGTCGACGGCGTCGCATTCCGATCTCCAAAGACCGCCCACGGGCGATCAAGGCTCTGAACGAAACTCCCAAGCAGCGCAATCATCTGCAAGCCGACCCCTCCCAGGCCGATCGAAGTCGCTGATGCGCCAAACAGTGGGAGCGAAATCGATTGCATCCATGTTCCCTCTGGCGGCGGCGGGGTTCCTCATGCCCGCGCCCTGCGCTCAGTTGGAAGACGAGTACCGATATGAGGCAGCAGTGAAAGTGATGCGCAAACCTGCCGCCATGCCACCTGACTTCTTGGTAGTACTGTTTGGGCGCGAAGGTGCGCGTGCAGCTGCATGGTCACTTCGTCTCCAATGCCCAAGGCGCTCGCCCATGCCTTCCTCGTGGGTGCGGGCCTCCATCAACATGGCCCCGTCGTACTTCTGCCCCCCTATGAGGCCTCGAGCAGCTGGGCCCCGCCTGTTGTGCACGTAGATCACGCATTCTTCGTCCGAGCCAGGGTGCGCCGCTCCACCGCGGGCAATTCCATGGACTTCTCTGTCTGAAACAAAAGATCGAAGCACATCGGGAATCAATTCCCGCCGTAAGCAGACTGCGCCAATTTCGCAGGGCCCCCGAGAACTTGGCCTCGCAGCGTCGAAGGCGCGCTCAGAACTCTGCGGCGGCGGCAGCGCCCCCGGGGACGGCGGCCGCCCGTGCGCAAGGGACTCGCTCCAGGAAGGGGCGCCCTCCGTTTCTGGGGCTGGGCGCCCCGTGCCAGTCGTCAGTCGCCGCGGCAAGTCTCCCTCGCACATGCCGATGGCGCCGTAAAGACATGGCCAGCACCACAAGGCAGCCCACTGTTCTGACTGCCCGCGGAAGAAAATGAACCGTCGGCGAGGCAGGCGCAGTCGGGCCAACAGGGGAGGCGGCCCCCGCGGCCTCAGCCTTGCCCCCTGAAGGTCCAGTTCGTTTCTTTTTGGCTGCCAGCCTCTCCATGTAGCGAGAATGAGCTTCACGTTGCGCATCATCTTTGCCCGTGGTTCCTCCATTTCGGCCCTGAAAAACTCCCTGCATATGAGAGGCCGTTTCAGTCTATCTCTTTTCCAACTCGTTGATGTCCTTGTCGTTAATCCGTCCAGGTCCATAAAGCAGCACACAAGTAATGACAGAAGCCAGGTCCATCTTGCCCTCCACCAGGTGGCGTAGGCTGGCTCTGGAAACACTTTCTTGGACCTCGCCCCGAACAGCATGTTGCTTCGGGATGTCGTCGAGCGCCTCCGAACACCTTTGTCCGCCTGGTGCAGCTCACCTTCGTTTTGTCTGATGCTGGCAGTAATGTCATCCACGTCCTTTCTCCCTTTTTGTAGCTTCTCGCATTCGTAACTGAATTTCTTCTCAAGCTGGACCTGGGTCTTCTCTACATGAATGAGGCGTTGACGTGCTGTCGCCACCGGCCCCGCCGCAGCGGTGCGCTCCCTCCTCGTTACAAGTTTCTTGAGCCATACGATGCAAAGCCTGAGCCTTCTCTGGCGAAATGGCGAGGAGAGGCCCTGGGGATATGGGTGAAAGCCTGAGCCCTTGCTTCCTCCCCCGCCCTTGCTCTCCCTCTTCTTGCCGCCCTTGCCTTTGGGGTGTGGGTCCCATTTGGTCTCCGAAGGGGGGCACCGGCCTTCCGTGATCAGGCTCAGACGGATATGCTCCTAAGCGGGTACGACAATGTTTGCAGTCCAAAGCTCCTAGTGATGGCAGGGGATGTTGCCCTGGGTGTTGCTGACTGTGTACCAACTGTCCGCCCATCAAGCAGATTGCGTACGGCCTGCTCCTGCTGCTTGTACCTGTCCTACGGAATGGAGTCTGTAGGAGCCGCCCCAACACCTTTGCTTCAAAAGGGGATCCGCGCCATCCCAATGAAAAGAAACCGTGGCGCCAGCAACTGAAGGAGACCGGTCGTGGTGAGATACCCTCGCGGGGCCAGGGTGCGGGTTGAGTTCAAACTGAATCGTAAAGTCAAGCAGATCGGCCCGCAACAGCACGTGCCGTTCTGAATATGCGCTGTTGCAAGCACAGGGCCAACTCCTGTGCTAGAGCGGCTACAGGGAGGAAGTGGGAAAAGGGAAGAGGAAGGAGGAAGGGTGGAGGGAAAAGAGGGGGGAAGGGAGGAAATGAGATTGGAAGGGAAGGGGGGAGGGACCAGGGGAAGGCGGAGGAGAGAGGAGGGCAGTGGAAGAGGGCGGGAAGAAGAGGGGAGGAGGCGCACCCACCAGAAGCAGATGCTGATTACCCTACTACCGTTTCACTGATACAAGAGGAGGAACCAGGGAAGAGAAACAAGAGGGGCGAAAGCTGGCCTGATCGAGCGTCTTGTCCAGCTTGCTGGCGAAGTCCTTGAACAAAGACTTGACGCCCAACAGCTCCTCGGCCGGAACCCAATCCGCCCGCGTCATCATGCTATTCCTCCTCTTCTTCCCCCTCCTCCTCTTCCATATTGCCCCTCCTCCATCTCCATCCACCACTACCATCCGCCACCCCCATGGTCGCGTCACTATGGGCAGCAGCGTCACAACTCAGCATCATCATCAGCACTCACATCATCATCAGCTACAGCACGGACATCCGCATCAACATCAGCATGACCATCATCATCATGACCGTCGTCATCATCATACTCATGAGCATCACCACCACCACCATTATCATCATCGTCAGCATCATCATCATCAACATCATATCATCAGCATCATCGTCGTCGCCATCGCCATCGCAGTCGTCATCGACGTCATCGTCGTCAACATCGGCATCATCGGCATCACCAGCGTCATCGTCGGCATCATCATCACCATCATCATCAACATCATCGTCATCAGCATCGTCCTCATAACCATCATCCCCAACAACACCGTCATCACATCAATCACCATCATATCAACCGTCATTATCATCAGCGTCACAATCATCATCATCATCATCAACATCATCATCATCATCATCATCATCATCATCGTCATCATCATCACCATCATCATCATCATCATCATCATCAGCATCAGCAGCATCATCATCACCTGCATCCTCATTACCATCGTCATAATCACCATCATCATCGCCACCGTCGTCGTCGTCATCGCTATCGTTTTGTCCATCGTCATCACCATCGTCATAGCCATCACCCTCGTCCTCCTGGTCGCCGCCATCGTCATCACCATTCGCATCACGTCGGCGTCGTCGTCGTGGCCGTCGTCGTGGTGATGGTGATGGTCGTCGTCATCGTCGCGATCGTCGTCGTCACCACGGGCGCGCAGGCTGGGCCGGGGCCGCTGCGGCGACGTCGCCGAGGCTGCGGGTCGCACTGCCTTTTTGTGGGTCTCTGGGGCGCCGCCCCGTGGCCGCTCGCCCAAGCCAGCGGCGATGGACGAGCCTGCGGTCGGTCCTGCATACATTGCGATGGGGTCTCGGGCGATGGCAGGACTCCAGCAGAAATCGCGAGGAAGTCCAAAGCGAGAGCACGAGTCCCGAGTGTTGGGGGCACGGCGCCCCAACGCATCGGAACGCACTGTCACGCGAGAGCGCGAGTCCTGAATCCATCGTGCGGGGATCCCGCGCGAGAGCGCGATGCTGGATGGATTATGAACCAGTGTCAGGCGGGAGCCGTCGTTATAAACCTGGCCCATATGACTCCCATCCAGCTGCACGCATCCAGAAGTGCATGTCTCTTACAGGTCTTGTCGAACGCTGAAGCCAAGAGGCCTTCTCGGGTATACGTCCAACGGTAGCTAAGGTACTCGCAAGACCCTTCGCCAGTTCTCCCAACCATCAACCGAATCCCCTGGAACAAGTCTGCGCGCGTGGCTTGCCACCAATCCTGACAACACCGCTTCAACGTACTAGAAGCAAAACGCATGGGGTCACTGGTTGGGAAGAACTGCGGTCTCTGGATCCACCTTGGAGGATCTTTAAAGTCCTGGCAGCGTGGAGCCTCAAGATTGCCAGCTCTGTCGGGGTGTAGCCACTGACTTCACTACCGTATGCCGCTGCATCCCAGACATGACTTTAAGGCTCGCCGTGGATAGAAGGGAACGGCGCTTCGTGTGGAAGCCTCCAATCTCTATCGCGCGGATCGTAATACTCCGAAGTATCCGACGCAAGAGGTCTGGCTCAGCACTCGGCGGCAGCTCCAAAGGGCCATCGGAAACATGCGCTGACTGAGATCGGACTCCCTGGTTTTCCCCGGGGGGGGGAACCAGGGGTGCAGGAAAAAATTGAAGACCAAGCTTGAGTCCAAGACGCCCGCTGCTGCTGTAGCCCCGCCATGTCGCCCGTGAGTGCGCCATCCTCTCCTCGTACTCTGGAGACAGTCTGGTCATTACATGCGCTGCTCCTGCTGTTCCTGCTAACGCTTGCGACCACAACTGTTGCCACCTCTCTCTAGGCATATTGTTGCTTGGTGGACATTTCGGCGGCGTCAATGAACGCAGTAAGTTGTGTAATCAGCTGGAGGTCCAGCCTGACGCGGAGCTCCAGATGGCCGAGCATCATGGTCCAGAAAGACGCCTTCTCATTGCCTGAATGCCGACACAAAAGGTTCTCCCGCAAGAACATACGTCCCGCAGCCCTGAGCAAGATCAAAACATGTCCTGACGTTGCGGGCTGCCCCCGTCGGGAGTGCAACGGACGGAGCTCGACGAGACGATTTCTAAACTACTGAAGGGCACGACCTGGGGTGTGGATGAGGGTGTTTGGTAGTCAGAACCATATTCGCTGTTTTTTTCTATAACGAAGCGCTCCCCAGCAGGCGCCCCTGTCGTGGGACTTGTTTGGGTCGCGTGTTGGACGTCGTGCCACGCTTTTGACACCTAGTCCTGGTAAATACCATGCAAGATCTGCAGCCCTCTCATGCACCTCTCTTGCCCCATTAACCTTAGCCGCCTCCTGAAAACCATTAATCCTCTGATCAATATGAGAATAATCAAGGCAAGGGACCTGCGGACCCACCGCTGGCTTCACTGGGAGACTGGCGAAAAGCTTAGATACAGGGGCGGTGACGTCATTCACGGCAAGCTGTACCATGATAGATACACGCATGTGTGGCGACAACTTGTTCGTGAAATCTACTTTCGGATCGGAAGCTGTCGCTGACAATCTATACAGCTCAAACGAATAGAACCCCAGGTGTTATTCCTGGTCTTACCATCGTTGGTGCATACGCGTGAATGTACATGTATATCACTCCTGAAAGTAGCTAATATAATGTTAAGCGATACTGCTGTTCGTTGTGTTCCTTGCGTGTGTTGTGTTGTCCCATCGCCTGCCGCCGTGGATGGCATCCAATAGAACACGTGAAGGCCAAAACCCTAAACAGCTGAACGCTCTCTCAGACCATACCTATGCTGTCCTCGGGGTAAGACGCATACACGCATGGTCCCTAAAGCCCCACCAGCCCTTTAGGGCGTAGGTGGTCAAGGGCGGCTCCTTGTTCCAACCCCTTTGTCCAAGGGTTTATCCTTACCTCCTCCTCCTCCTCCTCCTCCTCCTCCTCCTCCTCCTCCTCCTCCTCCTCCTCCTCCTCCTCCTCCTCCTCCTCCTCTTCCCTCCTTCCTCCTCCTGCTCCTCCTCCTCCTCGTCCCCTCCTCCCTCCTCCTCCTCCTCCTCCTCCTCCTCCTCCTCCTCCTCCTCCTCCTCCTCCTCCTCCTCCTCCTCCTCCTCCTCCTCCTCCTCCTCCTCCTCCTCCTCCTCCTCCTCCTCCTCTCCTCTCCTCCTCCTCCTCCTCCTCCTCCTCCTCCTCCTCCTCCCTCCTCCTCCTCCTCCTCCTCCTCCTCCTCCTCCTCCTCCTCCTCCTCCTCTCCTCCTCCTCCTCCTCCTCCTCCTCCACCACCTCCTCCTTCTCCTCCCTCCTCCTCCTCCTCCGCCTCCTCCTCCTCCTCCTCCTCCTCCTCCGCGGCGGGATCCTTCTCCCGCTTCTGGTTCCTGTTGCGGCCGTACGACTTCACCCTCTGCACCTGCGGGCCCCCCGGGGGCGGGGCGCGGGCGCGGGCTGCGAGGCACGGGCCGCGCGGAGCCGCCGAGAGGGCGGAGGTCGCCGTGGGCGCCGGGCGAGGCGGGCCACAGCCGCTCCCGGGGCGGCTCGAGGACCAGAGGCCGCACAGGCGGGGTCCGACTGCAGTGAAGATGCACGGTGCAGGATTGAATTCCAACGTGGGTCTGTTACTATAGAGAGGGTCACGCAACAAACGTTGAAACACAGATTATGACGATATGTGCATACGCGGTCTGGCAAATCGGGGCGGCATTGCAGGATTCGGCCTGACCTGAGGAACGAGGAATCATAGGGGAACACAAGGTGACATAAACATAAAAACTCGGAGGTCCGCGCGGATTTCTCGGATCGGCGCTGGGGCCCCCGGCGGCGCCTCCGGCGCCGCCCCTGGCGCGCTCCGCGCGCCAGGGAGGGGGGTCCAGCGCCGATCCGAGAAATCCGCGCGGACCTCCGATTTTTTTGTTTATGCCACTTTCTGTTTCCCTAAATAAGGAAAGAAGCCCCTTTTTGTCGAAGGAAGTCTGAGAAGTCCGAAGGAACGGCCGAGCCCTGTCCAGCGGCGTCCACAATCTGAAGGAGCACCAGGGTAGCTCGCCGCCAAAAGGGCAGCGGAACGCAGGCAAACCAAAGGAACGACCGAGCCCCTTTTGAAAAGTAAGTGTTCCTGATTCAAGCCAGATCCTGTAAGGATGCGCGGTGCACAGTCAAAACGTATAATACAGTAGAGACCAGTCCACAAGAAACCCAGCCCTGAGACCCCAGGGCGTCAACCGATTTTTTTGGCGCGGGAGCGTCGCGCTCTGCGCGGCAGAAACCATCGGAGCCCAAGAAACCCAGGGCACCCTGGAGGCAAGCAGGGTGCTTCTTGGCACGGGCCTCCACTTCAAGGACGGTTGGGAAGGACGCTGAGACCCTTCGGCCCTTGGAGGCCGAGGTTGGAATTTGCCCTGGGCGGCGGGCGGCCAGCGATAACGGCAAAGGACGGGCCGCAGAGGCAGGCACACGAGGGGCACCCCAGATGAAGGCGCGCGCCCTGGCCAGGCGCGTTTTGACGGTAAGGCTGCAGGGGCCTCGGATCGGGGGCGCGCAAACATGGAATAGCGATCCACGGAGTTGGCGCGCGGCCGCCAGATCCATGGATCGGGGGAGGTCCCCATCCCCAGAGTGCGGCCGCCGCCGCCTCGCTCGGCGGTGGGAATCCGCGATTTCCAATGGGAACTGAACCCGTCGCCAATCCACGCCCCTCTAATCCATGTTTGCAATCGCCAGATACCAGGCGCGTTGACGGTACAGGGCAGCTTTTAATACATGGGATGTTTAAACATATTGAATTTCTGATACATGACTAATGTATGAATACATGTATGCATGAACTCATCGTTGTTTGTAATACTAAATCCCTGTATGTTTCCCGACCTAGGCTCTGCCTAGAAGGGCTCTTACTCTCTTTGCTTAAAGGGGCTGGGCAGTGCTACGCGCCCGGGGCGGTTCCCCCGGTCCCCTGGGAGCCAATCAAAAGCGACAGCAAAGGTAAAAGCAAACGCGCGGTTCCCCCAGTTGCGCTCCCCAGGTGCCAAGCAAAAGCAGAAGCAAAGGCAACAGTGAAGGCAAAAGCGAAGGCAAAAGCGAAGGCAAAAGCCAAGGCGAACCAACTCCTAGGTAGGGTCGCACTGGGATAATTAATACATGATCCGCACGCGGAGCATGTTTCAAAAACGGCACTGCAAGGCTGCATGGGCCTCGGAGGGCCGTGTCGGCGTTGCCGCGCGGGGCTGGCCAGCGAGGGCCAGCATGGGATGCTTAAAGATATGGGAGTTGATACAGGACTCATTCATGAATCAATCTATGCATGAACCCATCGTTGCTTTTCATACGAAATTCCTGCATGTTCAATACATGATCCGCACGCGGAGCCTGTTTTCTGTTCTTTTAATGTATATATATGTATAATAAGAAGAAGAAGAAGCAGAAGAAGAAGAAGAATACTAGTACTAATAACAATGACAATAAAAGAAATAAAAACAGAGGAAAACAAAACTTTTTTGTAAAAAAAAAAAAAAAAAAAAAAAAAAAAAAAAAAAAAAAAAAAAAAAAAAAACACGGCACTGCAAGGCTGCATGGGCCTCGGAGGGCCCTGTCGGCGCTGCCGCGCGGGGGGCCGGCCAGCGAGGGCCGCCCTCGGGGGGCGGGCCGGTGCCCGCGCTCTCCTCGCGGGGGTCGGGGCACGGCTCCCACGCGCGGGGGGGCGTTTGAGGCTTCTGCTCCGGCGGCGGGGCCGACCTCCCCCCTGGCGCCCCCCCCCCCCCCCTCCACAATGACTCAATATGAAAATACTCTCCCTCTTCCCCTGATGGCGTCCGGGTGATGGCCGCGCACCCTCCGCGTACTGTTTTTTTACACACAGGATGCCCGGGAAATCCCGGGAAACGACTCTCGCTGAGGCGCCGGCGTCATTTTTTCCCAAAATGCTGCTCTCGTTGAGGCGCCGGCCTCATTTCTGCTCCCGAATCGTTCCGAATCGTGCTCCCGCTGCAGCGTGGGCCTCATTTTCGGATCGGTGTTTGGCCTCCGTCGTTCAGGATGGCGTTCTCGCCCCAGCGCGGGCCTTTTCTCGCGCGCCCATCCGCCCGCCACCACCGCGCCGCACCGCCACCACCACCACCACCACCACCACCACCACCACCACCACCACCACCACCACCACCACCACCACCACCACCACCAGCACCCACCACCACCAGCACCACCACCACCACCACCACCACCACCACCACCACCACCACCACCACCACCACCACCACCACCACCACCACCACCACCACGACAACCACGCACACACGCACGCACGCACGCACGTGCACCACCACCCACTACGCACGCGCGCGCGGAGCCACAGGTCCGCTACGACACGCGTCCGCGGATAGAGAAAATCAGCGCCATGGTAAGGGATGGGAGGGAGGGGTAGGACGTCAGATATGACGCGAGCGCACCTAGCTTGCCCCCTCCCCCTCCTCCCCTCCTCCCCCATCTCCCCCTCCCACCCTCCCCCCCCCCCCTGCCCCCCGCCCCTCCCCCCCCCCCCTCCCCCCCTCTCCCCCTCCCCCTCCTTCTCCTCCCCCATCTCTCAGCCATAGGGTGGTCCGTGGATGGCGAAACAGTGCTGGGCGGTGCCTGGATCTCGCGCTTCCAGAAGCAGAAGCAGAACATGAGGACCTGCATGTCCTGCAGCTCCGACCTCGGCTGGCCGCCTCCCCCACTTCATGGAGACAGTCGCGGCCGCACCTGTGGCCTCCTCCTCCCCATGAGCCATTCCAAGTTCCACTCCTCTGGAGGCGGCCTGGTGAGAGAGCTACCTCACGTCCAGTCCACCACACCAGAGCTGAACTGCCAGGCTACTGCCTCCGCAAACCAGGCCTGGAAAGATCGGCACTCTTCCTCCTGCCCACCCCTCTTGACCACTCCTACTCCTCCAGCTCCTGCTCGCACAGGCAGACGTGTCGGCAAGGCGGACCTTGCGTTTCGCCAGAGACTTCGCCACCGCTTGTGATCCTGAAACCTGAAATTCTTAACTGCTCTCGCGATAGCGCCGCGCATATTCGGCAAGAAAACGTCAAATGGTTACAACGATCGACAGCGAGCGGTTTCAAACCATGATCGACCCACGAACCTGGAAAGGGATGTAAATCTGCGAGGCATGGGAACGGTTCCAAACACCTAAATTGGGCGAAGGGCAGTGGCAATGCTGAGGATATCAGTGGTGCTGGTGATGATGATAGATGCGCTGCGCTGCGCTGTGCCGCGCCGCAAATGAACGTACCAGGGACGCGCCACGGAACGTGCCAATGAAATGCCAGGGGACATGCCAGGGGACATGCCAGGGGACATGCCGCGTTGAATTTGCGCTATTGCATTATGGGTCAAGCCGTCCTTGGCTTCAGAATCCTGACCGAACCGAGTTGGATCTTAAGCTCGAGCTGTCGGAACGCATAGCTCGGGCTAGTTGCAATCTAAACGCGCGGGGCGCTCGACCAGCTCGAGCTCAAGATCCGATTCAGTTCCGCAGCCCTCGCTCGAGACACCTAAACATACAGCCAGACGACCACATGTTGGATATCTCCCTGTGTAGCCTGGACGCGTAAACACATGGTTCCAGCTCCGGGCAACCATGTTAGGTACCCCCCTGGATGGCCTGGACACGCGAAAACACATGGTTCCAACTCGGGGCATCCGTGTCAAATACCGCCCTGGGTGGCCTGGACACGTGAAAGTACGTGGATCCAGCTCGGGACCACCTTGGTAGATATCCACATGGGTGTACTGGACACGTGACAATACATGGCTTCAGATTGAGACCACCATGGTATAATCCCATGGGGAAATCTGAAAGGGGCGGAACACGCGGGAGGAGGTCCAGAAGCTCAGAATCCTCGCAACTGTTGCGTTCTGAGGGCGGGGAGGGTGGCAACACGCGGGAGGACGTCCAGGGGCTTGGGATCCTAGCAGCTGTCGCGTTCTGGAGGGGACGGAACATGCGGGAGGAGTTCCAGAGGCTCGGAATCGCCACTGCCGCGTTCTGGGTGGGCGCAACGTTAGGTCCTTTTCGCCCCAGAGCGCGACAAGCGTGAAAACGCATTGGCTCCTTTCGCCCCAGAGCGGAGCAAGCTCTCCCCCGAGCGGAACAAACGCGAAACAACGTGGGCCCCTTCCGCCCCAGAGCGGAACAAACGTGAAAGCACGCGGGCGCACTTCGCCCCAGAGCGCAGAAAACGTGAAATAACATGGGCCCCGCTCGCCCCCGAGCGGAGCAAGCGTGAAAACACGCGGGCCCCTTTCGCCCCACAATGCAGAAAGCGTGAGACCACGTGGGTCCACGCCGAGAAGCCCCAGGAGGCCTCCCCGGAGCCCCAAGACTGAACGTGCCAAGCGATCATGCATCTGGTGCCGACTCGTCGAGGCGGCTCCGCTTCTGCGCCCCCCCCTCACATGCGGGCGGGAGGGGGGCGCCCCCTGGGTGGCCACACGCGGGCACCTCTCGCCCCAGAGCACAGCAGGCGTGAGAACGAGGGGGTCCCTTTCGCCCCAGAGCGCAGCAGGCGCGAAAGCACGCGGGCCACGCTCGTCCCCAGGGAGGAGCAGGCGCAAGGAAGCGGTTTCACGCCTGCTCCGCCCTGAGGCGAAGGGGACCCACGTGCTTTCGCGCTTGCTCTGCCTTGAGGCGAATTGGACCCACGTGGTTTCACGCTTGCCGCGCTCTTGGGCGAAGAGGACCCACGAGATTTCACGCCTGTCCCGCCCTGAGGCGAAAAGGAGTGGGGCGAAAGGGACGGCCTCTCCACTCCTCCAAAACGAGCGCTTCGCTCGAGGCATCCTCAACATGCCTGTACGCAGGACGCGCCGTCCTCGAGCGGGGACGCAACGAATCAACATTTCCATATCTTTTGTCGCATTTGAAGCCTCCAGACCACATGATGTATCGCGGATTCTGCGGAAACGCCCCGCGAGCCAACGGACCTCGTGAATCATCGCGGATCCGAGATGGGGCGTCCACGTTCCTCGAGCGGGCACGCGGCACCCAAGGACAAGTTCAAAAAAACTACCAGAGAACCCTTGGGCGTGGCTTGATGGGGGGGTCACAAATGGGGGGGTCAGAAACGGTCCCCTTTCGTGCCCCTTTTGGGCCCCTCTGGACCCCAAAGGGGCTCGTTTAGGTACCGTTTGGGTACCTTTTCGGACCACCCTCGCCACCCCCCTCATTTACGACCCCTCCATTACGCAATGCCCAAAACCCTGGGAAGGGGCATCGTCCGGGAAAAAAGGACCCTCCTTTGCGCCGTGCACAAGCAGTTTCACAAATCCCGACAGCTACAAAGCATGGAGGGCAGCTCCTTCACAGGATGGGGCCCTCGCTTGCGACCTCGAATGCAGCATTGTGCAGTTGATGCTTCTCCATTCCTGTGACCAGAAACTCGCCATCCCTCGGACGTGTATTCCCCGTGCATTTTTCGGTTTCGTGCACGCATTTCTCGCAATGGCCCAACAAGCTCGTCGATGGTCCTCGCAGAAAAAATCCGCCGATCCGGCGTGTGAACTACAAGGAGCCTCAGCAAGAGCTTCAGCTCTGAGCCTAAGCATGAGCTTCAGCTCTGCTTGGGGGGCGTCGCTGGGGTGGCTCTGCCGGGGAAGGGGGGGACGGGGGGGGGGGGGGCGGTCCTCCATCATGGCGTTTCCTTAATGGTTTGCGCATCCCCAAAATGTTTCGGGGGTCCGGGAAAGGGGGGAGGGGGGGGCGGTCCCCCATCTGGCGTTTTCTTAAGGACTTGCGCCTCCCCACGATTTTTCGGGGGGTCCCAGGGACCCCCCTCAGATCTAGCCGCTGCCGCCCCCAGGACCCTTCCCTCGGACCCCCTCCTGGACTGACTCCCCCCGGGAATTTTCCAGGGACCGCCCCCAGCGGGAACGAGGACGAGCGAGGACGGAGAGGGGAGCGAGCACGCGACGCAAAGGGGTCAGCGGGAAGCAGAGGATAACGAGACCCATGACGGCCAAAGAGGCCTCCAAGACGGCCCCAAGAGGGCCCCGAGACGGCCCAAGAGACCCCCAAGACGCCCAAGATGGCCTCCTAGACAGCCCCGAAGCGCCCCAAGAGGACTCCAAGTCGGTTCACAGAGGCCCCCAAGACGGCTCCCGACGGCGTCAGACGTGCCAAGAACCCACCAAGATGGCCGAAGTTGGCTCAAAGCTGGCCTAAGACAGCCCAAGAGGCCTCCAAGAGGGCCTCCAGGAAAGCCAGAAAAAGGCAAAACACTGATTTTCCTACGGTTTTTGAAAGATGTTGACATTTGCTTCTGTTCGGCCTTCCGACGGACCGAGACGGCCCAAGAGCCCCCAAAGATCGCCTAACGGTCGCCCAAGAGGTCTCCAAGATGGTTCCAGAACGGCCCAAGAGTCCCAAGACGGCCCCACGAGATCCCCAAGACGGCCCAGTATGCCTTTAAGACTCCCAAGATGGCCTCCAAGACGGCCCAAAATGTACCCAAGATGGCGTAAGATAGCCTCAAGATGGCCCAAGACGGCCCAAGAGGCCTCCGGCCCAAGAGGCCTCCAAGAGGTGCTCCAGGAGGGCCCGAAGAGGCCAAAATCATATGTTTTGGGTATTTGAAGGATTTGGGCATTTGCCTCTTCCCGGCATTCCGACGGCTCCAAGACGGCCCAAGAAGCCGCCAAGATCGCCCCAAGATCGCCCACGAGGCCTCCAAGATGGCCCCAAGCCGGCCCAAGAGGCCCCCAAGACGGCCCCATGAGGGGCCTCCAAGACGACCCCGAAGCGCCCCAAGAGGGCCCCAAGCTGGTTCAGAGAGGTCCCCAAGACGGCTCCCGACGGCGTCAGACGGGCCAGGAACGCCCTAAGACGGCCAAAGGGGCCCCCGAGAAGTCCCAAGAAGGCCCCAAGAGGCCCTCAAGAGCCTCCAAGAGAGCCCAAGATATCACCAACATGGTCTCCAAGACGGTCCCAAGATGGCCCAATCGAGCCCAAGAGGCATCCTCACCCTTCTCCTTCTTCTTCCTTCTCCCCCAGTTCCTCTTCCTCCCCCACGTGTTCCCCGAATGCTTTCCGAATCGACTTGGGAAACACATGGTCCGATAGCTTCGCCTCCCAAGATGCCTCCAAGACGGCCCAAGATGCCTCCAAGACGGCCTAACATGGCGTCAATATTGCCCAAGACGGCCCAAGAGGCCCCCAAGAGGCCTCCAAGACGGCCCAAGAAGCCTGCAAGAGGTCCTCCAAGAGGGCCCGAAGAGACCAAAATCATGTATTTGTCCTAAGTGTTTCAAGGATGTTGGCATCTGTTTCTTCTCGCCGTTCCGACGGCTCAAGGCGGCCCAAGAGGCCTCTTCCTATTCCTCGTCATGTTCATTTTCCCCAACGTGTTCCCCGAAAGCTTTCCAAGCCGATTCGGGGAACACATGGTCCGATAGCTAGGCAGGCCTCTGGCCACAACGCTCGGCCACACAGGCGCTTCCGAAAAGGCAGGGGGCGGCGGTGGTTCGCCGTAGTCGGGGGCGGCCAAGAGGGGGGCGTTCAAGAGGGGGGCGCGCAAATCATGGCCGGCGGCACTTGCGCGGCCCAGGGGGGGGGGGCCTGGGGACGTATTGGAACGAGCAGAGGCGCCATGAGATCTGGGGAGAGATCATGGCCCCCGCCATGATATCCCCCCCCCCAGTCCTCACCCCCCT